TCATGACTTATAAGAATATATATGTTTTATAAAAGACAGATAAATTGGAGATAGAGAGAAGTTCAAATAATTCCTCAAATTACCTATTTTGTTGCTTCAAAAATATTTTAATATATATGCTAACTTGTTTCATTTATATACTTGTTTCTTAGTTCACTGAAAAGAAAGTTTTGTGCTATTATCTGTTTCTTCTTTGTAAAGTAATCTTTTTTGTCTATGTCTTGTATCCTAAGTAAGTACTTTTAAGAGTATGATACACAGTGTAGTAACTATTGTTATTCACTTATTTTGTTTTGAAATTTTATTTTTTCATTAAAAAAAAGAATATATAAGTCTCAACTGGGTGTAGTGATGCAGGCCTGTAATCCCACCACCCAGGAGGCTGAGGCAGGAGGATTGCCACAAGTTCAAAGCCAGCCTGGGCTATGTCATTTTGAGTTCAAAGCTAGTAGACTAGACTTTATCTCAAAAAAACAAAAAAGTCTCTGATTCTGGATCTTCAGATATACAGGGTCCCTCAGGGATCTTCTTTACTGATTGTGGATTTCTTCTTGATGAGGTGGATGCCTTCCAACACCTTGGTGATGTCATAGATCCTCCTCTTTTGCACTTTGAGCACCTCTGCTGCCTTGTTCAAGTCCAAGACCCCATCGGGTGACTGGCTCACGAGCTGAATGAACTTCTTGGTGAGCAGACCAAGGGACATGTCATACCGCGTTTTTTTCTGAGGGAGATTTTGGAGTTTTCTGGCTATCTGGACCTTGTAGTGCAGCTCTTCCTTTGCCCTCAGGAGTTTTTTTAAACCATCTGAAAGGTACTGGTGACCACTTTCTCCTAGGTCCAGCCTTCGCTTTGTCTGCTGCTGTAAGGGCATTTCCAAAGGCAGCCTGGCTCCAGAGCAGTGTGGGGCCGGAGGGAAAGGGCTGAGCAAAACAGGGTGCCAGTGCATGGGGGGTGTGGCACTGAGGGTGGTATTGTCTTTAAGCTTTTACTTCAAGTGTGTGGTTTAGGGTATATGTAGTCAATGGTAGAACACTTGCCTAACGTGAAGTTTTGAACCCCAACACTGGAAAAAAAGTTCTGTTGGAGAGATGGAATGGAGACAAGTAAGAGAGGGACACTTCGGGCTGAGAAGAAACAGTGGAATCTAGACCCAGAATGGAAAAAAGAAATGCATCTATCATGGGAGGTGAAGAAATGGGACAGAGTGAACCAAAGGGTATACTACTTTGAAAAGGAAAAATAGCCAGAGTTCTAATAGCCAATATTTACCTTTCCAGAAGACCAAGAAACAGATGGGAAGGGTACAAAGTACATAGATCTTGGGGTTAGGAATTAGAAAGCACTGAATTGTAGGATGATTGTTGATTAAATTTTCTGACTTTGCCATTGGGTTGACCTGGTTTAAAATCTCAGATCTTGCTCCCACTAGCTGTGTGTCCTCAGCAATACTACTATCCTCTCTCAGACTTGTTTCCTACCCTGGATAGTTAAGTCCACCTCCTAGGTTGATGGTGAAGATTAAACATGTTTGTAAAGTATTCAGGGCAGTGGCTGGCACAAAGTAACCTCTCAGTAAATGGTGATTCTTCTGATCCCCATGGAAACCCTAAAGTGTTGGAATATGGATTCTTTTCCTTTGCTCCACAGAGATTCATTAGGGAAGTGTTTCTCAAGTTAATAAATTTTATCTTTGTTATTATGAATTAACATTTGGAAAACTTAATGTTCCAAATGGTAGGACAAAAATTTGTCTCTAAATTTAATACTATTACCGTAAGAAGGTTGGTGTTACAAGACAAGAATGAGAATATAGTTTTAAAAGCATAGTAAGTGATTTTAGTTTCCCAAAATACTAGCTCTAACACTGAACCAAGATTGTGAGCTAATGATGGAGTGTCTATTCTTCCAGCTTGACTGGTTACTGTTAAATTCCTTTGCCTATTATACATGAATTTTCCTTTTAGTAGAAATGCCTAAGATTGACTTGTTTGCACATAAGAATTTTAGTGTTCAACTGGTATTCTGGAATCTTTATGAGGAGTTATGCACTGCTCTAAAAATTCATAAGCAAATTGAATATTTGGATTCAGAAATGCATTCTTTCTTAGAATACTTCGTTTAAATAATAATTCACTTCTGAGATGAGGCTCATTAACTGAATCCATAATGCAGCTGAAAAGTGAAATATTTTCATATGAAAAGGCAATTTTAAAAAACACAATGCAATATTGTTTTCTAAACAAAACAAGAAAATAACTCTGTTCTGCTACTTTCTGCTTGTGTCAATCTGACCAGATCATTTTACCTTTCCATCCCTCAATTTCTTCATCTGTAGAATGAAAGTATAGGAAAGGTTGTGGTAAAAATGTTTTTAAAAAGCCCTTTCCATTCCTGTACCCACTGAAAGGAACTGAAAGAAGGTAAGTAGAGAAGGAAATTCTATCTATACAGGGTCTAAGAAAGGCTTTAATCTCATGCTACAAATTCATCCACATTATCCAGAAAGAACACCATCTAGAAAGATATTCATCTAGAAAGAAAATCACTTGAAATAACTTTAAAAGGGAAGCTAGGTTCTGATGCAGGATTCTTTGCTTGTGGACACAATGAAACTGGAAATGAGATAGAGGCATCTCTAACTCTAGTCAGCTGAGAGAAATGAGGGCTGCAAAGGATGAGTGGGCTTCAAGAAAGATAGCAAACCTCCTACTTTGGAGCCCTTCCCTGCTAAACATCTCCAAGACGCATTGGCACATCTAGAAGTTCTATTCAGGATAGATTAAAGGATACAGGTTGGTTGGAAGAAGGTCCTTAAAGCTGACTTTACATTGGACTGAAGAAATGTCAAGACCAGTATCAAAGCACTAGAGAGAAGACATCGATGAAATTATGGGTCCAGAAATCCCCAGGTACCTCTCAGCACTGCCACTGACAGAAATCATAGAATAGGAGGAAGAAGCTCTCAATGAAAAAATTTTTTCTTCTTTTTAGAAAGTACCCAGAAGACAAACACTGAAAGGCTTTGAAAATGCCACTGAAGCCCCAATATTGGGAATAAGGAACAAAGATGTGAGTTCAACAGTCAAAACAAGTTTATTTAAAACAGACCTGAGAGGGACCCCTGATATGAGGGCCAAGTAACTTCGTCTCTTATCAACTCAGGGTTTTATGGGGTTAAGGGATATGGGTTAGAAGGGGGGTTGGAACTGGGCTAGGCTAGTTGTCCTTCATCAGGCAGCTGTTAGCCTGTGCACTGTTGATAAGGAGAATTGAGCAGGAGCAAGCAGGACTGGCTTTTTAGGCTAGCAGCTTGAGGGAGCTGACCGATATTGAAATCTTATGGACATGAGAACTAAGGGATACCTCAGTCTCAAGGTGCTGGTCAGATTCCTTTACCCAAGCCTCAAGCAGCAGATAGCTGTGCAGCCTTTATGTCTCACTTTGTGTCCGTAGTATGATAAGGGGTAAAGGCCACAAAAGCCAAGCAGTTATCTCATCTCATAGTGAGAAGTGAAACCTGTTATAGGGAATCAAAGTGTGCCATGTCCAGTTGCTGAGGGAGCCCACTTCAACCACCAACATATTTTATTTATGAATAAAAGGAAAAATATCTAGTCTATGAAGAAAAATAAAGAATCAGAAAGGAGGCCCAGCTAGGCCATTGTCAAATGGTTTTCTATGAAATATATTTCATATAGCAAACAGCAGAGAATTATAATAAAAGTTGAAATCTAAATATCTTAAGAATTGATGGATAATAAATCTTTATCATGAATTTTTATGCTTACAGAAGTACAGATTTAGGTGGAAAAATAGTAAAAGTGGTAAGTGAGGACTTCATAGTGATACTGAACTTTGAATACTTTCAAATAGTTTTGATTCAAGCTTTTTGTAGTCACTGATTTCAGCCTGACTGTGAAGGAGTACAGGTAGGTCAGATAGGTTGGGAAGCTCATTTAAAGTACTCTGAATTTGCAAATGGACCAAAGAAAGAAGGAGAAAAATTGTTTTTGAGCATGAGCCAAGATTTGGAATAAAAAAGAAAGATCAAATTTTTTTTTAAAAATGTGGTATAAGTGGCACCCTGCCCTTCACCTCCAGGAGGATCTCGTGCTAAAGCCAAAACCAGAACAAAGTGGTAGCAGGTATATAAAGGCTCTTGAGAAGGACTTTTCCAGATATAGGGTGTTTGTAGCTCTCAGTATCTTGCTCCTCTTTGTCCCTGGTCCTTTCTACAGAGCATCACCACCATTCTTGCCCACAGCTTTCCTACGATGGAGAAGATAGAGTGACCCAGAAGGGAAAGCCACCTGCTCAAAGCATGGTGTGGACAACCTGCTCTCCATGGCCCTTAAGAACATTATCAGGCCACAGATCCACGTGGAAGGTCATTTCGAGCATGGACACAGCAAACCAGTACTGGATGAGAAATTGCATCCAATTAAGAACACTGGGAGAAAGTAGAATCTAAAGTGAGATCTGTACTACTGTCCTGCAATTGTTGAGTCTTTAAAAGCCAAGGCAACAAATCCAGAGATTTTAAAATCTGAAAAGGGATATTATTTCCAGTACCTTGATGGCATCTGGTGATGACTGAAAGAAAATGATAGAGAATTCCCCAGTAGCTTCCTAAGAAGCGTTCAGTGAGAGAGAGAGAGAGAGAGAGAGAGAGAGAGAGAGATGGAAGCCACACATCCTATCTGCCTGGGGCTGGCTCTTAACTTTTCTATACTTTACTATGAAATCCCTAATAATTCAGAGCTTGACTACATAGTGGCAAAACCACTTCCCCCCCCCAAAGAAAATACTTTATTCAAGTTCCCAAAACAGATTATTTTGAGTTTGAAGTGAAAAAAGGCCAAGTTAAAATATGAACAGAAACAGTTTTCATTTAGTGGGAGCTGAAATCAATGTGTACTTTCTTTTTTTTTTTTTGGTGCCAGGGGTCGAACTCGGGACCTTGCAGTTGTGAGGCAGGAAGCGGAACCACTCAGCTACATCCCCAGCCCATCAATGTGTACTTTCTAATCTAACATTGGTCCCATATGGCATTTCCAAGTTTTTGAGGGTCTACCAGGCCAAACCCTTCACTGCCTTTGCTGCTTTTGCTTTCCCTTTCTCCTTTCTTCTGTCTTGTTTTGCCTTCAGTCTTTTTCTCTGCCTCTGGTTCATCCATACTAGGTACTGTCCATTCTGGTCTAGAAGAGTCTTTTTGTTTCTCTTTATCTCAGTCTCAATTTTCATGTGAAATTTTTCATCATCGTTTGCCACACACTCCATTTTCTCTTGGCATTGTTTAGGTACCACCACAGTTGCTATCTCCCGAATATCTTTCATTAAAACATTGTAGTCTACTTTGAGAATACTTTTAAGTCTGTTGAGCTCCTTTGGGGCATTCTTTTTTCTCTTTTCAGCACGCATTTTTTTCCACTTACTCCGTAAACTTTTAACCATGTTTTACCGGAGAAAGGAATGCGCTCACCAAAAAGAACTCAAGCCAACTGGAAAGTTCTCTACTTCTACTTCCGCTTTCCGGCCATGGCTGGGGCCTCAAACCACTTTTGATAAAGCCATCACAGAATTTAGTAAACACTGAAAACAGAGACAGCACCATCATCATGCAGTTTCTGTAAAGACAACCTAATATTACAGCCTTCAGATGGTTCAGGAGAAAAAATGTCATGTGGCAGGAGGAACAGAAAAGTAAATGCACCCAGCATGTCATCATCTTTCCCCTGCAAGAAACCTTTTTACACATCTCTGCTGTTTATTCCATTTGGATTTCCTGTAGCAAAAAAATCTACTTATTCACGTGGGACCAATCATTTATAGTCTTTTCAAACTGCAGCTTTGGGAAAACTCCATTTGTCTTGGCCTACTTCGTGTAGTCGTTGCTGTGGAAAAGCATTAATAGTTTCATTTTTTTAATGGCTTCATTTTTGTACAAATATAAGAAACTTCTAAACACGTATGTAGGGGACTAAAGATGTATCTGGTATTTAAGTAATCTGAACTAACTCTGCAAGTGCATTAGTGTTTTGTATTATTGTGAGGATATGAAAATGTAGTTCAATTAAGGAGTGTTCTGTGTAACTTTTTAATTTATAAATTCCCTCCCTTCTTTTTTTTTGTACTGGGGATCGAACTCAGGACCTTGCGCTTGCCAGGCAGGCACTATACCACTGAGCTAAATTCTGGCCCTCATTTTCTCCCTTCATCCTCAGAGCTTTTCTTTTTATAAGGAGTTTTCCCATGCTCTTCATGTATTCCTTTTTCGTAGGAAAAGCATTTGACATTTCAGGGCTGGGGAGATTGAAATGCCTCCTATATTTTTTGTGGATTTCATGTATATCTACAACAACATGGGGTTTCATTATTCATTTATTTGCTGCTCTTGAAATTGGCAGTTTCCCTTCCCAATAAAAATTCATTTACACCACTTGCATCTGTAGTTCTGGTATTCATCTTCTTGTATGATACAAGTAGCATATTGCTGCCAGAGTACAAGCATTTCTTTTGGCAAACTAAAGTGCATACTATTTCTTAATACACTAGAAAGGGGAATTATGTAGACTTATGTGCATGTGACAAGATATCCAGTTCATCTGATGATTATAATTCAGAAAATTGGTCACTTTTTGTGTTGCTAATCATTGACTGTAGTCTTCCCCCAAAATCCTTGCAAAAATGTTCAGCCCTATGAAATAGCAGAGTAACAAAAAATAAAATTACATTTACCATGGCTTTGTAACAATTGCATCCTCAAAATTTAAGGGCGGGAGATCTCACTACTTTCTGAAATGTCTTGATAGTTCCTTTTTATCTCATGCAAATGTAATAGTGATCCACATATTTATAAATTATGATACCCTTGTCTAGAGATGCCTGGAAATATATAAAATTGAACTACAAATTGGAGTATTTTGCCATAGCTCACTCTCATGAATGTCTCTTGCTCAGAAATAAATAATAACTGTTAAGTGTTTTATGGAGTAAAGTGGACATTTTAGAACCAGAAATAAAATGAGGTATAGATAGAATCCTATTAGAAGAAATAAAATCATAGGGAAAGTATTGGGTCAGTTAGTTCCCCATTCTGGTCAACAGGTGGCACTAAAGTAGCTTGGATGCCAAATGGAACAAAGGGAGGAAATAAAAGCCAATCAAACCAAAGCTACCTTTGGGTGAAAACGCAGGAAGGCCAACACTTTGTTTATATCTGAATATGCCTTATCTGTCTTTCTAAATTGTTATTGCTTGAAGTGAGGGAGGGGCACTTCCAGGTACAACTAAAAGTTGTACTGAACCTTTCTATGGCTTGGATTCCTCCTCAAGAAATGGATATAATAATGTCTGCCTCCTAGGGTTATTATAAGCAATAGTGAGTTAATACATATAAGTGCAGTAGTGTAGATTGCAGGATAAGTGTTCAATAAACATCAGTCATTATGACTCTCCACAATGACCACAAGGCACATGTAGTAGGAACTGAGTATATATTAGTGCATACATAATTGGATGGAGGGATACTCACAAACCTAATGTTTATAATTCAGGAGTTATGTAGTATTAAAATAGCCACAAAACAGATTGGTACAGGAAAAAAACTTACATTAGTAATATGACTCTATTTTTAAAAGTCAGTAACTTTAAGAAGTCACTGAAATAGTATCTCCCTGAGTATTCTTTAGAATTTATGTATGCTTGAGTATTTCCAGAGATATATTGGTCAGTTAAACCTAAAACAGTAATAAATATTGTGAAGCTAGACAAACTTATTTTGGTTCATTTATTTGCTAAAAAATTCTCAGTCTCAACCATGGTCAACTTTTCCCAGACACAGATAATAAAGACCTTCAGTTTTATGTGCTCAGTCCCACCAATTCTTAGAAAGCCATTTAAGATCAGCAGACTATTAGGAGAAAGAGGCTAGAATTAGTCTGTTCTAAGATTAGTATTTAATGAACTAGAGAAGAACCCTGGAGTTCTTGTTCAACCACCAAGTTGAACTTGCCCTTCCTAACTTTTGACTCTACAAGTTTAAGACAAAGTAGAATTTCTACCTAGCTTCAAGGTTTGAATGTTGATTTTTCTTAAGAGTGTGGTTCTGCTCTGAACCCCAGCTAGGGCCTCAACTAACTGCCTATTCATTTCCCACCCTCTTATCCTGATATCAGATCTACACCACTGTCCCTCAGACACTGGATGAGATCCTGCTCCAAACCACATAAATTTTCTAGAATGATTATCACTTCTCTAACTACAGATACCAATATAGTCAGAGGGACAAAAATTGTTACATCATCTCTTGGATGTGGACTGAAGTCCAGATTTACCCTGAATCTCTCACTCTACTTTTGAACCTACTACTGGTACTAATGACCTCTTAGCAGAGCCAGGTCCAGTGGCCATGCTATCTTTCCTTTCCCTTGTGTGCCCACTTCCCCTTTCTTTCTCTTTTCTATTGGTTTAGAAAGCCTCATTTGTGGGTGATAAGAAGGGATGATTGGAATGGAATAAAAGAAAAGTAGACATTACAGGGAAAAATAGTGATAAAAATACTTTTAGCCCCAGATATATAAATGCTATGCACAGGAAATGAAAAATAAATAAAGTGGGCCTGAGATTTTAACATGAGGAAGAAATTATAATTTCATATACAGGGAATATGGAAATAAAAGTGCTATTTATCTCTGACTGAACCCTGCTTCTTCATTTATCGGTTATATGCCTTTGTGCAAGCTTAAGCTGATCTGTTTTCTAATTTATACACAATGTAGTTATTTAAAATGTCTATTTTTCAGGGTTGTTATGAGGAAGAAATGAGATGATGTGTGTGAAAATCTTTCATTTATGGGTGGTGTGTGTCCTGCCCATGGTGAGAGGGCAGGTTTTTAGGTTAGAAGTTGTAAATACTCTATGAGTTGGACTTGGCTTAAAGATATGTTTTATTTGGCTTTGTATCAAGGGTTCTCAAGACCATCCCCAGTTTTGATGATTCACTATAGTACTTATGGTACAGAACAAAACATATAGTAGTACTTATGGTTATGATTTATTATGGCCAATGGATCCACAATAAAACCACCAAAGAAAAAGGGGCAAAGTACAGGGTAAACCATGTACAAACTTACAAGGTGGAGTCACACAGGAAGTACTCAATTGCCCCAGCAATGAATTTTTGACAACATGTGTGAAATGTTAGCAACCAGGAAGCTCATTAGAGATTCAGAGTCCAGAGGTTTTTTGAGGACTAGTCATGCAGGGAGCTTCTGGCAGGCACTTATCAAAATTCTAGACTCTCACAAGGAAGGCAGGTGGCCAGCTAAGGCACAGTGAATCACTCATACCAGTTCTGAGAATGATAGGCACTGTCCTGAAATCCAACTTTCTGAATTCGAGCCAGGGGCCAGCTTTGTAAACAGGTCTTTTTAAGGATAAAAAGGTTAGGCCTGCTATGTTAACTCTTTTTTGCATAGGGGTTTCCCTCACAAGTTTTAAAATACAGTCTATTTATTTTTACTTACTTGCTGTCCTTTAAAAATTAAGAAATTTCCCTCAGAATTTCTATCTTCTTGTGAAAAATTAGATATTGTAGCAAGAATGGATCAATATTCTCACATAAAATAATGGCTGGCTCTATTTAAGGCTTCACGTTCCCTTTCATTTCTCCCAGTCTCTCCCACTCCCAATACTCTGTCCCACATTCAGTGCCACTTGCTATTTAACATTATACATGTTTGTCTGGCCTTGGACTGCTTGAATCAAGAGGGGACAGCTGACCAGAGATGAGGAAAAAGAAACAGGCATGCAGAATAACATAGAGTAATGATACTCTATCAACCAGATCATAGCTAATGAATTCCTGCTGCTGAGGTACCCAGAAATGCCATGAATGCAGAACTCCTCTCTGGCATTCTCTCTTACAGCAGTTACTTGTGAATATTCTTGAATTGATATGACAGTACTTTCATTGCTGCATATAATAACTCTCCTTTATTTAAGCTAACTTGAGCCAGTCTTTCATCCTACCCAGCTAAAAGATCACTCATTGGACAAGTAATAATATAAATCAACCATTGCATCTACTGTATTGTCCATCAGTACTTTGTAAATTGAATTCATCATTAGTATCATACCATCAAGACTAATTAGAATGGGCTAAAATATGTCTACAGAAACATACATTTTTTAAAGAAAACATTTAATAAATATTCAGGTAGTTCTAAATATCAATATATATACTTATTTATTAACTCTTAGTGACAAGATAATTATAGACAATAAAATAAAACTTTCTTTTTATATTTCTAGCACCTAGAAAAACACCAGATATAGAATGCTATAAATGTTTCCTGACTTCATAAATTTCACTGATAAGGATATCTAGAAACCCAAGGACAGAGGTAATGAAAACCAAGATAAAGAGAGAAACATGCAGGTGAAATGCACAT